TTGACCTGTAAATTTCAGTTTTCATATCTTTCTAGCTTCTTCAGAAAGAAAAGCATAGTGTTTATTGAATATTTCAGGTAGATGTGATCTTCTGCTAGGAAAAAATACCTTCTTTATGAGATAAAATTATACTAGTTACCGTGCTCTGGCTTTTGCTTTAAAATTCACTTGCCTGATTATTATGTCAAAGCTGGTTTCATTTTGCTAGAACTATCTGGGCAGACTTCTTTACATGAATTTGCCTCTTTCTTCAGGATTGGCTTTGAGGAGGACAAGAACTTCCATGTTGTTCTAAATTCTGTCATAGCAGGGCGTTATCATGTTACTGAGTATCTTGGATCTGCTGCATTCAGCAAAGCCATACAGGCACATGACCTGCATACGGGCATGGATGTTTGTGTGAAAATCATAAAGAACAACAAGGATTTTTTTTATCAAAGTCTCGATGAGATAAAGCTTCTCAAGTATGTGTACAAGCATGATCCTGTTGATAAGTACCATATTCTCTGGCTGTATGATTACTTCTACTACCAGGTAAGTGAATAAATGGGTATTGTTGTGGCACATAAATTTGTGGTGGCAGATATTTGACTTCTTTCAATGCAGTAGTGCTATATAGCTAGTTCTACAGTAGATTCTTTCCTGTTTGGTGGTTTTTATTCAATTATTTCAAGTGTTTCCACACGTCAGTTTATGACAAGTTCTGATTTAAGTAAAAGTTGAATTTCCTTTATTTTTCAAGAACATTTGTTAATTGTATGTGAACTTCTCAAGGCAAACTTATATGAGTTTCATAAATGTAATTGAGAATTAGTGGATGAGGTTTATTTCACAATGCCAAGATTACAGGTATGGTAGTATCATATTGCAATGAGCTTCTAATTGATATGTCTTGCTGCTTTCTCATTCCTTCAAAATGTTCAATGCAATCAATTACCATTCAATGTTTGGAGGCACTTCAATTTTTGCACGGTCTTGGTCTTATACATTGTGATCTAAAGCCTGAAAATATATTAGTGAAAAGCTACAGTAGATGTGAGGTCAAGGTCATTGATCTTGGGAGTAGTTGTTTTGAGACAGATCATCTATGTTCTTATGTTCAATCCAGGTCGTATCATGCACCAGAGGTTATCCTGGGGCTTCCATATGATAAGAAGATAGATATCTGGTCACTTGGCTGCATCTTGGCAGAACTTTGTACTGGAAATGTAAGGTTTAACATATGAATTAAGAGATGCCTAGAGTTCAGCTAGACTCCTGTATCTCATTCCAATCTATATCACTTGAAACTATTGCAACTGATCACTTTGAAACTTGCAAATTGGTATCAATGAAACTTTGGTGTAGGTCCTTTTCCAAAATGAT